GCGGGGGGGGGGGGAGCGGGAAGTGCTATTGTTGCCTTGATTGCAGCAGCTGGTAGGGAGCAAACTCGACCTGCTGATGTTCACACACCACCAGAGCTTTCATCTTTATCCAGCTTCTGCAAAACTCTATCCATTAAAGGAGCTTTATTTATTGAGCTGGGTACGGTTTTTGGGTTTTTCCGCCCCTTGCCGTGCATTGTAAATTCCTGGGTTGCCTGGATGTCGGGTATGCCTGAAACTTTTGTTTTCAGCTTTGAATAGAGATGGGAAGGGTTGAAGCCCGCTCTTTTTTTTTTTTCCTCTCCAGCAAAGGATTTCTTTAAATTTTTGCCCAAACACTTAGCTCCAACTCTCTCAGCTCAGCTTCCCTGAACTTCCTGCCCAGTACAAGATCTCAGCACAGGCTCCAGCAGACTTCCATCTACTAGCGGGGAGGGGAATGGCTTGCCTTGCTGGTCTTCCAGCTTGTGCGGGGGTCCTTCAGGCTCTATCCAATGTGGCAATGTAGAGAACTCCTCCAATTGGGGTGGCAATGTAGAGAACTCCTCCAATTGGGGTGGCAATGTCCGGCCCTCCTCCATTGGGGGTGGATATGTCCGGCCCCCCTCCAAATGATTTTAAAGTGGCGTTGTCATCACACTAAACATGCAGCAAAAAAAAAACCTGTGACGTCAAAACTCAATTTATATGTAACACCGATCCGTAAAATCTGATAAAAGCCATTGTCATGTCATTGTAAGTCTTTTTGATTTTATATATATCAATCTGCATCTTTTATCATAACAATCCCTGTTGATCCTGCCATGACAGTCCTTGTTCAGGCACTTCCTTTTACAGGGTGACAACGCACTGTACCTGTCTCCCAGTTATGCACCTCTGTTGTCACCCTGTCACCAATGGAGACCACAAGTGGCAGTTTCAGCACACATTACACAGACACGGTCTACTGTTGTCGCCATCGGGAAGACCACCCTGAGAAATGCCACGCAGCCATCGCTGGAGTGCATATGGACAGGAAGACAATGCAGGTGATTGGCAGAAGTGGGAAGTCACAAAGGATGAAAACAATGGTTTATGATGCGCAGTGAAATGTTATTCAGATTCACTTTAAATGAAACCTTGAAATGGAGGATCAAACCACCAGCTGACAATATCGTGGCTTGGTGGGTTGTATTTGCAGAGCCGCTCCGCTCGGAGCCCCCCTTTATACTTTGCGGAGTGTTTCCTGGGTCCCTCGCTTGGGAATAAGAGGCCGTGATTGGATTCCTGACCCCCGTCTCTCATTTCATGTTATTGGAGCAGAATGTTTTTTTTTTTCTTCTTCTTCTTCTGGCAGTGACTTGTTGAGCGCCGTGTCGCCGTCCCCGGTGGGCTGCGGTCAGGGGACCGCAGAGGTAATTGCATTTCCTGCTCTTGCTCTCATGTGTCTTTCTTATCTTCCTCAGGATTCCGGGCCGCTTGAATGACAGACGCACTCCGCTAGGAGAGCTGAACTGGATCTTCACGGCAATTACTGACACCATCGCATGGAACGTCCTGCCAAGAGGTACGCCGCCGCCGCGCGCTTGGCATCACTCTGACGCAAAGCCCTTCACTGCCCGTCTGCGTCCTGTAATGTACCGCTGACATTCCCGCGCTCGCATCTGCATACGATACGGCTTTGTGGTGACTCATTTAAAGGAGAAGTATGAGGTCAGTGAAAATCACTCAGCCTCATAGTTCGAGCCGACGTGTGACAATGAGACTGTCACAGGTCGGCTCAGTAGATCGGGAGGTGAGCGAACACATACCGTCGCTCGCTCACTTCTCGATCATCTCCCTGCAGAGAGCCGTGACTGTCACTCACGGCTCCCTGTAGGGATCCCCCCCTGTCCGATCCTTTAGCGCTGACTGGCGGAAAGGACGGGGGAGGGGGCGGGTACAGCTGGCTCTGCCTCTGGATAGGCAGAGCCAGCTGTCAATCACGCAGCTGGGTGGATCCAGACAGTAATGTTGGGATCCGTCCCGGCTGCGGCTTCTCAGTATATAGGGAGCTGTAGCTCGCGGTATACTGAGCTTAGGGTGACGGGAGGACGCTAGTTTGTGTCCTCCCGTTACCCTCTGGAGAACTATGGGGAAAAGCCCTGACCCCATAGTTCTCCTTTAAAGGACGAGCTCATTGTTTAATATCGGGGGTGTTGTCTTGCCAGTTGCTCTTCCAGCTCCATGACCCCCAATCCTACAATTACACATGGCTGAAAATCGTCACAGGAAGTGTCTGTCCACCCAAAACTGATGTTTACCCGGCAGATGCTGGGGACTTAGCGTATCCGAATTTACTTTTTTTAGATTTAGTATTGAACAGCAAATGGTTACAGAAGAACTCCGGGGGAAATTATTATTAACCCTTGCAGCAAGGGCTACCCCCCAGCACTGGTCTACAATGGGCAGATGCAGCTCTGTAGTCATTGCTACATCATTACGTTTATCTTTTCAAATGCAAGAACAGCCTCTTGCAGTCCTTTACAGCAACACTTAAACTGGGAGAAGGCAGCGCAGCACTGGGAACCAATCAGGAGTGTTGCATGTGATATATTGAAGAGGCGCACCCTTCCCCTACTGGGATGGACGTGTAGATTTAGCACAGGAGAAATTTTCAACTCTTCGGTTGGTCTTTATGATTCAGCGGGAATTTCCCCTCACTTCCTGTTTGGTTCTCAGAAGAGGAAATGAAGGGAAATGTTCCCATTGAGGACACAAACACCAGAAAAAGGAAACCTGGCGGGTTCCATCCCTTCCCTCCCGTATCCAAAACAGAGATCGAATCTTCGGCCTTAGATACAGCTCTAGAATCGATCAGATTTTGCTTGGCATCCTGTTTTTGATCAGCTATAAAATGCCTGAATCTGTCTCTCTTCTCTCAGATCTGTTCCAGAAGCTGTTCCGGCAGGACTTGCTGGTCGCCAGCCTCTTCCGCAACTTCCTATTGGCCGAGAGGATTATGAGGTCATACAATTGTACGCCTGTGAGCAGTCCGCGGCTGCCCCCTACCTACATGCACGCCATGTGGTAAGTCTTTAGCGTCGTCTCGAAGCGCCACTAAAGAATCTTTGTTTAGATTTTCTAAAGAACTTTCGCACCAAAAAAACGTTCATTTGACTTTCTATTCGTTGATGAGGTCAGATCGATGATCAATCTCACCCATAGTGACAAAAGACTGGAAAGAGCAGGATGGAAATTTGTTGTCGAACAAACAAAATGCTAACGGTGATTGTTCGGTGCACTTCATTCCAAAATCGAATGTTAAAATCCAACAAAATTTCGATCGACATTCGACAAGTGTCTGATGGCATTACTAGTAGCGTGTGGTCAGCTTTAAAGGACAAGAACACGTTAAAACAAAGTGACCCTTAACCTAACCTGAACCCCCCCCCCCTCCAAAAATAATAGCTGCGGTTCTGCTGTTTGTTTACATCCATCTCCTGGCCACACCTGCACACTAAAGCCCCATAGACTTCTATACTACCATCTGAGATCTGGGATAGTCTGCGGCCCCGGGACACAGCCCCATAGACTTCTATACTACCATCTCAGATCTGAGATCGTCTCCGGCCCCGGGACACAGCCCCATAGACTTCTATACTACCATCTCAGATCTGAGATCGTCTCCGGCCCCGGGACACAGCTCCATAGAATTCTATACTACCATCTCAGATCTGAGATCGTCTCCGGCCCCGGGACACAGCCCCATAGACTTCTATACTACCATCTCAGATCTGAGATCGTCTCCGGCCCCGGGACACAGCTCCATAGACTTCTATACTACCATCTCAGATCTGGGATAGTCTGCGGCCCCGGGACACAGCTCCATAGACTTCTATACTACCGTCTCAGATCTGGGATAGTCTGCGGCCCCGGGACACAGCTCCATAGACTTCTATACTACCGTCTCAGATCTGAGATCGTCTCCGGCCTCCAGACACAGCCCCATAGACTCCTATACTACCATCTCAGATTTGAGATAGTCTGCGGCCCCGGGACACTGCCCCATAGACTTCTATACTGCCATCTCAGATCTGAGATAGTCTCCGGCCCCGGGACACAGCCCCATAGACTTCTATACTACCATCTCAGATCTGAGATCGTCTCCGGCCTCGGGACACAGCCCCATAGACTTCTATACTACCGTCTCAGATCTGAGATAGTCTCCGGCCCCGGGACACAGCCCCATAGACTTCTATACTACCGTCTCAGATCTGAGATCGTCTCCAGCCTCAGCACAAATCCTTCCTGAGGGATTTCCTTTCACTTCATGTTGTGGCTATTGGACAGGAAGAGACAGAAAATCTCCCCAGTGTGATACAGATGGAGGAAAAAAAAGCTGACATGGGTTATAACCCTTCCTTATCAGTTCTATTTTAATTATTTCAGAGTCTCGGCATAAAGAAGTCTGGGCTAGGGGTAGTCGGCACACAATATTGGCCCCTCTCAGAGTCTGGTGCCCTCACAGGCTGCAGAGCGGCTGTTAGAAGCACGGGAATCCCATTTCTGGGTATCCCGATATCATGGTAATGTTAGCTTAGGTGTAACATTGCTCAGAGGATTTCTTCTTTAAAAATTAGAATTCTGCTGCAGCGTTCCTCTCTGGAAGATCGTGACGTCTCTGGAAGATTTCCGCTGAAAATATCATTTTTCTGTGCTTTGCCTGAGATTACGATCAGAGGGGCTAACATGGCAACATTGATTTTTGATCGTTTTTCTTAGAAGTCTTCAAAGGAGATTTACCTTTTAATCTTGGCGAGTGAAACTCAATCCGCTGTCACTCACCGCCTTCCGGAACTCGGCAATGTCACCTTGAGAGCGGGAGCAAATACGGTGACCTAAATAGCTGAGATTATCGCAGGACAAGGCTCGTCGTCCTCTGGTGCAAGGCAGTCTGCGATCATAGGAGGGACCGGCGAGGGAGCAGTAAAGAGAGCCTGTTGTGTACAAACTCTGATAAACACGTGATAGAAGTCTTGCATAGGATCTGCTGCTTCTTGAGGAATGCGGCGCAGGTCAATGCCACCCACACTGCACCATGGAAGGCAATAGAAATCTGCAGACTTGAGCAGGCAACACATGTCTTCATGAGCCGCATATACATGATGTATTATTCACATGTCTACATGAGCCCCATCTACATGATGAGCTATTCACATGTCTTCATGAGTCCTATCTACGTGATGTGCAATTCACATGTCTTCATGAGCCCCATCTACATGATGTACTATTCACATGTCTTCATGAGTCCTATCTACATGATGTACTATTCACGTGTCTTCATGAGTCCTATCTACGTGATGTGCAATTCACATGTCTTCATGAGCCCCATCTACATGATGTACTATTCACATGTCTTCATGAGTCCTATCTACATGATGTACTATTCACGTGTCTTCATGAGTCCTATCTACGTGATGTGCAATTCACATGTCTTCATGAGCCCCATCTACATGATGAGTTATTCACATGTCTTCATGAGTCCTATCTACATGATGTACTATTCACGTGTCTTCATGAGTCCTATCTACGTGATGTGCAATTCACATGTCTTCATGAGCCCCATCTACATGATGTGTTATTCACATGTCTTCATGAGTCCTATCTACATGATGTACTATTCACATGTCTTCATGAGTCCTATCTACATGATGTACTATTCACATGTCTTCATGAGTCCTATCTACGTGATGTGCAATTCACATGTCTTCATGAGCCCCATCTACATGATGTGTTATTCACATGTCTACATGAGCCCCATCTACATGATGTACTATTCACATGTCTACATGAGCCCCATCTACATGATGTACTATTCACATGTCTTCATGAGTCCTATCTACGTGATGTGTTATTCACATGTCTACATGAGCCCCATCTACATGATGTACTATTCACATGTCTTCATGAGTCCTATCTACATGATGTACTATTCACATGTCTTCATGAGTCCTATCTACGTGATGTGCAATTCACATGTCTACATGAGCCCCATCTACATGATGTACTATTCACGTGTCTTCATGAGCCCCATCTACGTCATGTGCAATTCACATGTCTTCATGAGTCCTATCTACATCATGTACTGGTCACATGTCTTCATGAGCCCCCATCTACATGATGTGTTATTCACATGTCTACATGAGCCCCATCTACGTCATGTGCAATTCACATGTCTACATGAGCCCCATCTACGTCATGTGCAATTCACATGTCTACATGAGCCCCATCTACGTCATGTGCAATTCACATGTCTACATGAGCCCCATCTACGTCATGTGCAATTCACATGTCTACATGAGCCCCATCTACGTCATGTGCAATTCACATGTCTACATGAGCCCCATCTACGTCATGTGCAATTCACATGTCTACATGAGCCCCATCTACATGATGTACTATTCATATGTCTACATGATGTGCTATTCACATGTCTTCATGAGCCCCATCTACATGATGTGAATAACTCATCATGTAGACATATGAATAGTACATCATGTAGATGGGGCTCATGAAGACATGTGAATAGCACATCATGTAGACATATGAATAGTACATCATGTAGATGGGGCTCATGTAGACATGTGAATAGTACATCATGTAGATAGGACTCATGAAGACATGTGAATAGTACATCATGTAGATGGGGCTCATGAAGACATGTGAATAGTACATCATGTAGATAGGACTCATGAAGACATGTGAATAGTACATCATGTAGATGGGGCTCATGTAGACATGTGAATAACACATCATGTAGATGGGGGCTCATGAAGACATGTGACCAGTACATGATGTAGATAGGACTCATGAAGACATGTGAATTGCACATGACGTAGATGGGGCTCATGAAGACACGTGAATAGTACATCATGTAGATGGGGCTCATGTAGACATGTGAATTGCACATCACGTAGATAGGACTCATGAAGACATGTGAATAGTACATCATGTAGATAGGACTCATGAAGACATGTGAATAGTACATCATGTAGATGGGGCTCATGAAGACATGTGAATAGTACATCATGTAGATAGGACTCATGAAGACATGTGAATAGTACATCATGTAGACATATGAATAGTACATGTCTTCATGAGCCCCATCTACATGATGTGTTATTCACATGTCTTCATGAGCCCCATCTACATGATGTACTATTCACATGTCTTCATGAGCCCCATCCACATGATGTGTTATTCACATGTCTTCATGAGCCCCATCCACATGATGAGTTATTCACATGTCTTCATGAGCCCCATCCACATGATGTGTTATTCACATGTCTTCATGAGCCCCATCCACATGATGTACTATTCACATGTCTTCATGAGCCCCATCCACATGATGTGTTATTCACATGTCTTCATGAGCCCCATCTACATGATGAGCTATTCACATGTCTTCATGAGCCCCATCTACATGATGAGCTATTCACATGTCTTCATGATGTGCTATTCACATGTCTTCATGAGCCCTATATATATGATGTGCACTATTCATACATCACTGTGACGGGCTGCCCTACTGGCCAGTAGGGGGGGGCTTTAACCCAGATAAATTTTGATTTGGGGCTCCAAGGTGGTCAACAAGAAAACTGAGGTGACTTGCAGCTGCCTGGCAATACACCAACACTTGGAAGGCCTTGGATCCCTATAGGGCTGCTTTGAAGTGGAACTTTAGTTTCCCAATGCTCCCCCAGTTTCCTAATGTCCTCCCTCCCAGTGGTGGGTTCTCCCTCCTACTGGACTGAACAGGAGTATTGTGAGGCCAGGTTGCTTGATGACGTACCCCCGAGGCAGTTTGGGTCCGCAGGAAGTGGGTTGGATGACGCCATCATTCAACCCGGGGGAAAAAAAAGCAATGGTGGATGTCTGGAGTGCTAAGTTTGCTGGGGAACAGTGCCAAGGGTACGATGTATATAGCCGGTGAAGCTGAAAGGTACATGGCAGACAATTAATTGCCTGTGATTTGTATATGACATGCTCAATTTAAAGCCTCACTCCTGGCTGCTGTTAAATGTACCCATGCAGTACTGGTTCCTTTCCCCATTGAACCCATGCATTGTGGGGGTGGTGTGGACCCCATTACATGGGTACATTTAGCAGCAGCCCGGATTGGAGCTTTAGCAGCAGTAGCTGTGTATGGTAATGTTGTCACAACACTTCTTCTAGAGGCCGATAGTCTTCTCCTAGGAGTATTTTTGTTGCATTAATTTAGTTGTATCAGGAGGACTGAGAGTCGCAGCTACTGGGGACAATGAAGCGCATGGTAAAGGTTCGGACGGCCCGTATCGGGGTTGGTTGTCCCAGCGCTCCGCCATCGTGAAAATGACCCACATCGGCCGGATGTTTTCTCATCTGTTCCCAACACGGGAGTAAATCACACGCCAGCTGATAATTCCCGAGCTATAAAAAGATCATCCCTGGCCTTTGGGGGATATTGATCTATAATCTTCGTGGTTATTAAGTAGCGAGGCTCCTAGAAGCCGGATTATTTAACCCCTTCGGTGCCAGGACTTTCCACCGGATCATCCGTATGACACGTATTGCGTTATATTGTGACAGCACATGACTCGGCTCATGTTTTCGGGCCTCTATCTGCCAGAGACGTGCAGACTTAAACCTAAAGCTATAACTTGTCTCAAGGGCAGGAAGTGATGGGATATCCCATCATTCAGGGGGACCCTGTTTTCCAGTCCTGGTGACACCTGCGCCATCTCCTTTCCTGCCCTGGTGTCACGGAGACTGGAAGTGAGGGGGAGATAGTCGAACCCACGCACATACCTCATAGACCAACAGCCACGACGGGTGCATGGTCGTGGATGATAGTAGATAAACCAGCAACTAAAAGTCATTTGTGCTCAAAGGAGCGCAGAAACCCATTTACTCATTAATGGGAATGTCAGCAGGTTACATGCACCTGTCATTGATCTCAGAAGCTTCTCAAACTGATCCCATTGACGCAAGGCCAAACCCCATCGACGTCATAGGCCCCAAGCATTATTACAGCGGAGTTGCGGTAGGAGGACATTATAAACTCATTCAACGATTAGCAGCGATTCCCATCAATGGAGATGATGAATGATCGCCATTATTATTAGATCTACCACTTGTTTTTCTTTATTCCCTGCAGGCAGGCGTGGGATCTGGCCGTTGATATTTGTCTTTCTCAGCTGCCGACCATTATCGAAGAAGGCACGGCGTTTCAGGTAAGGGAAAAACGTATTCGGGTTAATGACCTCCGCTTTCGAAATTGGGTAATTAGGGTCCGGCGTTCAGTCCACCCACACGGAGGACAGAAGTGATTTCTGGCCATGCATGTGCATTAGCAGCACCGAGTGTTGTAGCAGCTGGGACTAAATTCTGATCTATGAGATGGAAGTGATAGTTGTAGGCTGTGTGTCTGTGTTTAAAGACACTGTCACCTTGCCAGTGCAGAGCACAGTGACAGTGTCTCAGCAAAAGTCAATCCCCCTGACCCCTCTTATACCTGCAAATGTCAATCCCCCTGACCCCTCTTATACCTGCAAATGTCAATCCCCCTGATTCCTCTTATACCTGCAAATGTCAATCCCCCTGACCCCTCCTATACCTGCAAATGTCAATCCCCCTGACCCCTCTTATACCTGCAAATGTCAATCCCCCTGACCCCTCCTATACTTGCAAATGTCAATCCCCCTGACCCCTCTTATACCTGCAAATGTCAATCCCCCTGACCCCTC